GTACTGAGGAGGATACACAGCAATCTGAGTCAACTACAGGACAGTTTGCACCTGGGATTGAGCAGGCCATAAGCAGCTCACCACCTGCATCTCCCCCACCTGTAAGTAGGCTTAGGGATCAGAGACGTCAGGAGCTGGCTAGCCGACGAAAAGAAGAAGCACGTTCAAGAGGGCAGAGATCCTTGAGCCCTGAGTTTTAACAGCAGCCAGGACCTCGCACAAAGGTGCTAATGAGTTATTGGGCCAGAGCACTATTTAGTAGGGCCTCTGGCCATGAGCAATTTGTGCTGGCAACCTCGTTCGTAGAACCAGAAGCTCTGCACCTTGATTCCTGTTTGACTCTATGGCTTTTGGACTTGGCTTGTGTTTGGACTGCTTTGGCTCCTGACTTCCAGCTTTGAACCTGACCACGCCCTCGGCTTTGCTCCCTGTGACCTCTGGTAAGTTTGACTATGGCTTTGTCTGGTGTTTTGGGACTTGTTTAATGCTCTGCTGACTGCTCTCCTGGCTGACCTTTGGACTTGTATTGTGACTCCCCTGTCTGCCTGCCTCCCTGGCTCTACCGTGACACTCTGGGCCAAGAAGTACATGGTACAAAATAAAAATTAAAAGTGATTCCCACATTGTAGACTGGGATTAAAGGTCAGTCGCAACTCTGAAAAGATTGGGGACCGCTGGTTACACACACACACACCTCTCTGAGGAATGACGCCCCATTACGGCTGCCAAGTGGGGGTGGGTGGCAGGTAAACCCCTGCTTTGGAGGCCTGATTTCCGCCACCACGGAATCGGGCCCGGGAGGGGGACTCCGCCCCCTGAAGTGCAGTGTGGCTGCGTCAACCACGTGGGGGCGTGGCCCGGATCGTCGGAGGGAAAACTTTATGTGCTGGCGGCGCGCACCCGGGGGCGACTCCTGGAGCCTGGCGAGGCTCCCCCGCTGGTGAGTTTTTTGGACTTGGCAACCCTATGTCCCATAGACAGCCCCTGTAGAGACTCAGGAGTATAGCCAGGGTTGCCTGTTTTGTGACAAATGTGCTCATGTTAACACAGTGTAACCGCTGAATCACTGTGATACAAAACCATTGATTTTTCTCTACGTCATTTACATTAACCAAATTCCATCGACTCTCATGTGGAGTATGTGACCATTATGCGTGTGTTCTGATTAAAAGTAGATTTAAATCCTGGGGGTCCTGAAAGACAGAAGATCCTTTGCTGGCTTGAAAATCAGGTTCTGTGAGGAGGAGTTCCTTGAAAGGTTCTTGGGGAGTCTAAAAGTTAGAGGTAAAAAGGAACGTGCTTCCTAGAGAGGACCGTTTTCCTGGATTTGGCCAACTGCTGTTTCTAGGAACAGCTGCTACCGCTTGACTGTTTTGCAAGTGCTAGAACGGATAGCCACCCCGTTCAGTGATAACTTGTTAAAGTATTTAAATGGCTCCTTTCCTGGTATTGATTACGGAAATGTAACATGCCACAAAGAGGGAGAGCTCAACTCTCCATTCGTCTCCATCAAACGTAAAGCAAAACTGGACTCCGAGGCCGTCTTCCGTCTGCGCAGCTTCTGATATAATAAAACAATGTGCTTCCTGGCATTACAGATAGGATTTAAATCATTGGAATTCACGCACCGAGCCCTTCGCAGCGCCAGGAAGCCTCCCATCAAAGAGACACTTAATGCAAAACAAGAAAACCAATTTACAAAATAGGAACAACAGCAATAATGAAAAGCAGAGTGAAGAGCTCGGAAGCATTTAAGGATGCCTTTGCAGTTACCGTTTTCCTGCCTCCAATGCGGTTCACGCAGACTGCATCGCCAGAGCACTTAATTACTGTTACGTGCACAAAGTTCCGCATGTGAAGTTCAAGGATAATTATTTTCTCTTGTCCGATGATAAAAGTATTTTGCAAGTAGCAATTGTAAATAAATATGTATGCCATATATTACTGCATGGGGAGGCAGTGGGGCGTGGCTTTTCTGCTCTTTTAAGAAAATAAGGAGAGCCCTGCTGGATCAGGCCAGCAGTCCATCTAGTCCAGCATCCTTCTGTCACACACAGTGGCCAACCCGTTCCACTGGAGGGCCAACAACAGGGGATAGGGGCCGAGGCCTTCATAAGAATGTACGAAGAGCCCTGCTGGGTCAGACCAGGGAGAGGGTCCCTGTAGTCCAGCCTCCCGTCTCACACAGTGGCCAACCAGTTCCTCTGGAGGTCCAGCAACAGGGCAGAGAGGCCGAGGCCTTCATAAGAACATAAGAAGAGCCTGCTGGATCAGGCCAGTGGTCCATCTGGTGAAGCATCCCGTCGCACAGAGTGGCCAACCAGTTCCCCTGCAGGGCCAACAGCAGGGCACGGAGACCGAGGCCTGCCCTTGATGTGGCCTCCTCGCTCTGGGATTCAGAAGACTGGTGCCTCTGTTTATGCCAATAAAGGTGTTGTATTTGTATTTGTATATTTGACTGGTGCCTCTGAAGGTGGAGGTTTCTCTTAGAAGCCCCACCAACACCAGTCCTGGCAAAAAGAAGCCCATTTCCTGTTGAGAATGGATGGGCCAGTCAAAGATCCTGGGTGGGCCTTCTGTTCAGACATCAGCCTGGGTGGTGGGCTGCCCTGACAGCCCTTTGCAATGTCTCTATGTCAACTAAGCTGCTGTTAGGGTTGCTAAGTCAATCTTCTTGGTCCATCTAGTCCAGCATCCCGTCTCACAGCGTGCCCAACCAGTTCCCTTGCAGGGCCAACAGCAGGGCACGGAGACTGAGGCCTTCCCCTGAAGTGACGTGACGATGGCAGGCACGCTCGGATTGCTGTGGCCCTGCCCCCAGTGTGCCCGGTGTGGTCGCATCACTTCCGGGTGACGCGCACGTTGGGGTGGAGTTCCCCCCGGGGCCTGATCCGGTGGCGGCAGGGAACGGGCCTCTGCCTGCCCCCCGGGTGGACTTGGGAAGCCTAGCTGCTGTCAAAGCTGGGGGGGGGGGGGTGATGGGTGGTCTGTGGCTGTGGTGGAATCTTAACTTTCGTTTCTTCCTGACTCGCCTTCTCTCCTAGCTGAGGCCAGTGACCTCGGTACCTCGTTGCTGCTTTCTCTGAGAATGTAGACCTGTTAAGTTAGGCGGGCTTCAGCTTGCTCCCCGATTGGCCCAGGTCCATCAGGGGGACCCCTTTGAATTACGTATAACTCCCCATTGTGCGCACTTGCCGTCAGTTCTGACACAGAATGTATGCACAGATGACCTGCCTTTACTGCGCTCAATAAGCTCCACTCTTTTGAATGGGAGTTGTTGGGAACGGATTGCTGAGCGACTCTGAGGACAACTGCGGATGAGCCCGGAGAGAGAGCCCCACGTGCTGGGGTGTGTGTGTGTGTGTGTAGAGGATGGAGCCAGCCAAGCCTCCTCAGGGGGGCTCTTGCGTTGCCAGGACCCATCCCCAGACCCCCAGAGCCGGAGCTGACTCTTGGCCCATGCGAAGCAATCGTCTGGAGCAGAGCCTCTCTGGGCATGAACCCAGAGACACGGAAGAACCACGGCCGGTGCTCCCCGTGGGTGGAGGGTGTGTGTGTCCCTTCCAGGGTGCTTCAGTCCCAGCACTTAGGGAGGAGGAGTCGAGGAGGCCGATCAGGGCCGCATCCCGCTTTGGGACCTGCTGGGGTCAGAGCAGGAGGAACCATCCCATGGAGGAAGCCCTTCCGCTTGGGCCAGTTCCCTGTCCCCCCCCCCAACACACTGATGAGTCACCACAACCCATCCGAAGGCTTTGACGTCAGCAGTGGCAGCCTGACTCTGACCGACTGGTGTGGTGGCAGTGGTGGAGGAAAGCGCGGTCCAGGCCCAGCGGACAGATGGTGACACCCCCACCCCCCCGAAGTGTTTTCAAGGGAAGAGCTGAAAATAGCTATTTCATACAGAGAAAACGTCTTTAAAATACTTCATAGATGGTACTGGTCTCCAGAAAGGATTGCACAATGTTTCCCAAACTGCTGAGGTGCGAGAAAGTGCAGAGATACTGGAAAAAATATTCAGGATGTTAAATGATATAATAGGAGAGCCGGTGCCCTTTGTACCTGAGATAGCTTTACTAAATATGCTACCAGAAACATATGCCAAAACAAATAAATATGTAATTGTATATTTGCTTACGACAGCTAGATTGTTATTAGCCAGTAAATGGAAACAAGAAGATTTACCCTCTAGAAAAGAAGTAGTTGACAAAATGTTATCAGTGGTTGAAATGGACAAATTAAGTTTGACATTGAAAGGCAATAGTAAAGACCTTTGAAAAAAGATGGAAAAGATTCTATGTATGGCTAGATAATGAATTATGAATGACTCACAAGTATGAAAAATGTAACTCGCAGATATAATGTATGCTGGAAAAACTTTAAATAAACTTGGGGGGAAAAAATTGTTGGAAATGTAATGCCACATTTTTTTCATATGTGGTGGCAATGTATTAAAATGCAAAACTACTGGAAAAAAATCAGAAAATAATAAGAGAAGTAGTAAAAATAGAACTGCCACTTAACCCCAAAATTTATTTGTTAAATATGATTCCTAAAGAATATGAAAGTAATGTTAGATATGTGGTGTAATTTATATATTGACAGCGGCGAGAACCCTTTGGGCTAAATACTGGAAAACAGATAAAATACCTCAAAGGGAAGAAGTAATTTATAAACTGATGAATGTGGCAGAGGTCGATAAGCTGAATGTAATATTGCATGGGAAGGATGAAAAGGTTTTTGAGAAAAGGTGGGCGGGACTGTATGAGTGGCTAGAGAAAGAACGAAAGAATAGACTCTAAAGTATATTTATTTTTGTATATGTTAATTTGTCTTGTACAAGTTATAAAACTATAAATAAATTTTAAAAAGGCAAGAGCTGTAGAGAGGTGGCTGGCCCTCGCCTGCCTCTGCAGGGTGACCCTGGACTTCTCCCTGGGCCTCCCACCCAAGCACCGGCCGGGGCAGGCTCTGCCGAGCTTCCACGATTGGGCGCGATTCGGCTAGCCTGGGTTATCCCGCCTGGGGCACCCAGCGGCCCACGGCCCCAAATTCCGAATCAGGGCATTCTGGCAGCACACAAAAGAGCAACAAAGAAGGGGGGACGGACTCTCAGCACAAAGGGCTTCGGAACAAGCATAGGAACCTGCCTTCTTCTGAATCAGGCCCCCCCCCCCCCCCTTGACTCAGGCGGAGGACGTCTTTCACATCGCCTCCTGCTGGATCCTGAAACTGGAGACGCTGGGGACTGAACCTGGGACCTTCTGCAAGCCCAAACAAATGCTCTCCCCCCGAGCCACAGCATCTCCCAAGAAACTTAACGCAGCGCTGCATATTTCAACCAGTTTGCTTTGCTGCTTCAATAAAATGCCAGCCAG